CATTCTTGAGTCAACATGGATTGTCCATGTTAAATGTTTGGACACATGTATTCCTTGATCCTTTATCACATTCGAGCTTTCCACTGCTGTTTCACAAAGAATGAATTCGTGTTGATTTCCTCTAAATTGGACTTTAAAACATTTGTCCAGTGCCAGACTCATCTTGTTTTTGTCTACCCAATTTTCAACGCTTGTTAGGTCCTGCTGGATGTCCTTTGTGTCTACATTCACTGCTAGTAATTTTAGGTCGACTGCAAAGATAAATGGTTCACTAAATTTCAATACTTCAGGAAGATCATTTATGAAGATACAGAAGAATAATGGACCAATCAACGATCCTTGTGGTACGCCACTTGTAATTTGTAAAGTTTTTGATGAGAAATTGTCAGCACGAATAAATTGTTTCCTGTTGCTGAGATAGTCTGCGATTATTTCAAGGAAACAGCCTCCAACTCCAATGTTGCTCATTTTCTTTAGTAGTTCATAATGTGGGACTTTGTCGAATGCTTTAGAGAAGTCGGTATAGAAGGCGATCATATGGTTTTCAGCGTTCCTGTCAATTGCTTCGTAGATTTCTTTCAAGAAAGACAACATGTTTGTAACAACTGGACGGTTTTTAACAAAACCGTGCTGACTTCTTGTGAGAAATTTGATGAAATGGTCATACAACGCTGGATACATGCATTTTTCCAGGAGTTTACTTTTCCAGCATGATATTTAGGAGTGACACCGGCAGGTAGTTTTCCATTAGTCGTTTGTCACCTTTCTTGTAAATAGGCGACACAGCCGCAACTTTCCATTTATCTGGTATTTTCCTTACCCTCTTGATGTTTTTAAAAACGCAACGCAAAATTGTGGTCATTTCTCTGGCCGTTCGCTGGAACAAAATTGGTGGGACTCCATCTGGGCCCCGCGATTTTGTTATGTCCAGCTCTGTTATAATTTGGTTTATATATGTTTTTGAGATACTGAAGTTACTCAATATCGTGTTTTCGCACTTCATGTCACTGAGGTTGAAGCTTGATTTGGGCAAAAAGACAGAGTGAAAATATTCATTCAAAAAAGTTCACTTTTTCTTTGGCTTTCGAAACAGCTATTTCGTCCTTGATCATAGTCTTTGGGAGAGTTTCTGATTTTTTCAGACTCTTAAAGTGTTTGAAAATTAAATGTGTGTTACGAGTGGACATCAAACTTTCCTGATAGTTTACTCTATCTTTCTCTACTGCTTCTTCCACCATTTTATCTAGAGACAGAATGAGATTTCTGCGGTAGCTTGTAGGTTTCAATTTTTATATTCTAGTTTGTGTTTGCAGTTTGTTCATGATGTTTGAGGTACTTGGCGTAACCCATGGCGGAAGTGATTGGCGACGTCTCGTTCATCTAGGCACATGTTGGTTTACCAAATTTTCCAAATAGTCGTAAGGTTCCTCGAACATTCTAGTGATGTTTGTGTGACATACTGGTGAGAAAGGCTCACTTAGTATTGATTTCTTGATTTCGTTATAGTCCACGCTACCGAAGCTTCGAAAGTTTTCAAAAGCGACTCTTACCTCTTGGTGAGGACATTCAATTAGAATGCTGATTGCTTTGTGGTCGGAGCAATTGTAAATTTTTGAGAAATTTTCGTCAGGAGTCGCATGAATGTGACAATTTTTGAATAATGTAATGTCTAGGGTGTTTTTGCCACAAGTTGGAAAATCTATTGCCTGCTCGAACTGATGTTGCTCAATTAGTTCAATTATTGAGTTTTCTTCATTTTCCGTGCTACTATAGTCAATCCAGTTTGCATTTGGAAAATTTACGTCTCCGCAAATAAGTGTTGCAGTTGATTGATTTGATTTCTCGATTTCATTTAAAATTTGTGCAAAATCGCCTAGACAATAGCAATATTTGCTGCTCGAAGGTGGATTGTAAAAGCAGCAGACAATAATTCGCTTATCGTTTATTTGGATGCTGCAAGTTAAACAACATTCAGGTTGCTTATTTGGCAATAATTTTTCTGATGGTCATACTGATGGTCATTCTGAGATGATGTAGTACAATGCCATTTGTGACACGTAGTGAGTTGAGGTGGAGTAGATAAATTTCATTTTCTTATGCGATTTTTAAGATCAATTATAGAAAACTGGAGTACCACTTGACGATAACCCGGTGTTATGCGATCAATAGGGACATTGATGGGGACTTGTCCGGTGAGTATGTGCCATTCTGCCGGATTGGCACAGCGCAACCTTCCGGCGACACGAAAAAACGAATAAAGACCTTAGTAACAAAAAATTACTGCGAAGGAGGGTCGAAATATTCCGGAAGTTTAAAAATTTAAAATTTCGATTGACGGGCAAGTATTTCTGAGAAATACAAAAAGACGGCCATTTTGACAAAAAAAAACAGAACAACAACGAGACGGAGACAGCAGAAAACAGTCGCACGAAAGAACGAGAGAAACGAAGCCTCTTATCGTGGCAGTAACACACGATAAGAACCTTAGCAGTAGAAATTAGTGGAAAAGGAAGCTTCAGTGGGGAAGGAATATTCCACGGAACCCTCCCGTGCCACAAATTGGGAGAGATAAGAACGTTATCTCGGGAAGATTACGGGAGCGGAGGCTTGGTTCCCCAGAGACTGTTGTATGTGAAGGGACTATATAAAACTGACTTTGTAGCTACTTGGATATCGTAGAACTTTGAATTAACACCGGTATTATTTGATATTTTAGAATATGAGTAGCTAGAAAGAGGAAAGGGTCAATCCATCTCCAATGGATTTAATGTAGAACTGTCACACAAAAAAAATTTTTAAAATAGGGTACTCGAGCCGTGTTTTTAATAGCAATCACGTAGTCTGAGGATCCGAGACTCAGCTATGTGGTTGTGTTCGCATGTAAACGAAAGCTGATCAAAAGTCGTTTGACTGATGGCCTAAAAATAGTAACTTTTTACTTAGCCCTAAACAGACCAGAAAATCAACTGGCAAGGTCAAGACGGTGAAAAACGAGTTGGATTAACAACAACGAGACTGAGATTGCAGCATAAATGCGTGTGCGGAAAAGACGTTACCGAGGATGGTTGGCATGGTCTTTCTTGCCTCAAAAGTGCAGGGAGATTTTCTAGGCATTCAAACCTGAATGCCCTTATAAAGCAGAGTCTATCATCTACTCACATTCCGTCTGTTTTAGAACCACGACACTTCTACAGGACCGATCAGAAGCGACCAGACGGTTTGACGCTCGTTCCATGGGCTGATGGTAAGCAGCTCTTGTGGGATGTAACGGTAGTAGACTCCTTAGCTCCTTGTAGGATTAATGCCGGGTCTGTTTGTAACCCTGGTACGGCTGCCGCTGAAGCGGAAGAGCGAAAAATTGACAAATATAAAGATCTTGTAAATGATGGATATCTTTTTCAACCGCTAGCTTTTGAAATTCAGGGCGCGGCCGGCCCCAGCACAGAAGTTTTTTTGAGCAAGCTTTGTAAGAACCTAAGCATATGCACTGAGGAACCCAGAGCAGACAGCTTTTTAAAACAGAGAATCTCCCTGGCAGTACAGATTGCGAACGCCGCTTGCGTACTCGGAACAATAAATGACAAAATAATTTTCGACGAAATTTTTTACTTGTAACACTTGTATATTATATTATCTCGTGTCGAGGTGCGTGTTCTTATTGAAGAAACGTAACCCGTATCGATTTTAATTGAAAAGGACCTAAACACTTGTCATCTTCTTTTATCATCACTTCCATATCTAAAAAATTCTAAGGATTTTGACTGGAATACATGATGAAGGGACTCATGACTGTAACCTCGGTTACTATGATACTTTTGACCTTCGGATTACCTTCTGAAAAAAAAAGTAGGATTAAGGTAACTGACGCCTGCCAGTCGTTAATAGGTACTTTTTCTACGCTCCGTCGCTGTGTAGTATTTGGGCGAATGTTACAATTGTAAAATTATTTCATTAATATCTGACTTACTCATCCATCTTTGAAACTATTTTCATTTGACATCTGCTTGTATGTATGTATAATGGTTTCGGGCCCGGGATTACTCCCTTAACCAAGATGAGTTTTGCTGTTCCAACTTTCCAGGTACTGGAGGTAAGTTCGTTGTAGTTAGTTTCAAATTATTTATTTTTTTACCGAAAAGTCTTTGGGAAGTAAGAGTACTATTCGAAGAGTACTTCTTTCAGTTTTTGTCTATCTTATCTCTTTAGCATATTTTCAATTTATCAATAATCTGACTTGCAAAATGAACAGGTCTATCATTCAAAAATTCAAAGGATAATTTCGACTGTTTCCTTTTCCCGGTCTAACATCGTCTTATTTAAGAGCTATGTCAGCAAAGAAGTGGATCGGACCGAATCCCATAATTGGCACCTTGAAATACTTAGACAAGGGTGATATTTATTTGCATAAAGATGTGCAGATAATGGCTTTCAATTACGTAAAGCGGAATTGCCCACCAAAAATGCAAGGTGCTAATAAATTTGTTAGTTTGCGATTGCCTCAACTGCAGCACAGAAACTCAGGCGTGCATTTCATGAAGTACGAAGACATAACTCCTACTCCTTTTCTTCAAGTGTTTCTGAAGAACAACAAAGAATTGACAATCGATTTGTTTGATAAACAGTCCAATGAAATTTGGAGTCATCTCAAAGCACTCTTTAATGTTGAGCCTGAACGGTACAAAGAAAGTGAACATTACAATAAAGCACTTATTGGGAATGACAAAGAGCAGTATGACTGTGTATGTAAGATACCTGGACAAATTCGTTGCTCCTCCGATTTACGAAATACCTTCCGATTTGGAAGGTTGGAGCAGGCATGGCAACGTGACTATCTGACCTGGTACTCTTCTGGTTTTTATGCTATTCGGAAAAGAAAAGAACAGCTTGAAAACGCATGAAATTTTTATTGTATTAAGTAAATGACTGATTTAACTTATCAAATTGCTAACAAAAAAAACTTGACTTGATAAAACTTGAATTAATTGAAGATATCGGTTTCACAAAAGGAATTTTTTTTACTAATGATGCCCTTGAACATAAGACACGTGAGAATGTTTTTTGACGCTTTTGATTATATTTTGCATTCTTCGATGACAGAATGTTCCATGTGTTATTAGCGCCATCATTGAGCCCAGGCCTAAAGCCATTACATCTGCGCTCAAAACCATAATAGTTGCAGCTTTTTTCACGCTTTCCTTGGCCGAACAGCTACGGGCATGTCTAAGGCCAATCAAGTACGCAACGGATCCTAGAATGCCTTCCAAAATAACCACCATCGTCATAATCTCAATTCTAGGAATGTAGTCGAAAAGTGCATGTGAGAAAACTACGGCTGTAATAACTGCCTGTCCTAGTGTAATGATTCCAAGCTTAGATTCCAAGCAGTCAGGAAGTGGAATTGATCTGCAAATGGTCTGTGTGATGTGATAAGCAAACATATACCATCTGTACTGCTCTGAAGTGGAAAGATGAAAGTTGCGTACGGTGGCGTGCTCTAAGAGGCCTAAATTTGTGTAGTACTCGAGGAAGTAGAACAAAACGAGGTAAATGAGGATATCTGCCAGGGATCGTACAGCTTCGCATATATCGTCCGCAAGGGAAGTGCTGAAATCAAAATGTGTGTTTTTTTTAAATTCGATTAACGAAGCAAATGAAGCAGTGTGAATAAAACAGTGCGACTAAGGAAATGAAACAATGTTTCGTTTTGTGTAGAAATAGAACTAACTTATTTGCAAACATATCAGCCTTTTTGCAAAGGCTCAGATGCATATTTCGTTTCCTGCTTTTTGGACTGCTGGATGTGTTCGTTGGCTGGCTTTGTGGTTTTTCAATGGCCCCACTGCCTACAATCAGAGGAACAATTTCAAGTTCTTGATCCATAGACCAAAGGTCTTCTATATTGTCATCTTTCTCAGGCGGAGTTAGTAGGACCACAAACACCAAAAGTCCGACCAAATTAATAATAATGAATGGGTAGAATGGTTCATTTTCTGATACGTTTATGGCTTTCATCGAAACATATACTGTGGACCCGAGAGTTTGAGCCATTCCGGCTCCAGCTGCCAATGCGTTTGTTGCCTGAACCTGAAATGATATCTGCAGTAGAATTTGCTCGGTCAATATTTTAAAATGTCGAGTGGTTTGTTTTCCCTCATAGTTCTGTTTTATTTTGTGCTTTCTATGCAGTTGTTATCAAACCAGAACATGACTTTTTTCGAAACTGAATGATTTGATAGCTTTATTTATGTCTATATCTATCTTTATCTATCTATCTATCTATCTATCTATCTATCTATACATTATTTAATTGGCGTTTTACTTGACACGTGGTTAAATACTCAATATATGGTTAAATACCCAAGATGATTCCAACGCTTCACTTCTAAAAGGTTATGATCAATACAGAGATCATGAATTGCGAAGACAGTGATTCAAGCCCTGAAGGGGACCAACATTGCTGAAGAATTGCCAATAGTTATTGAAGAGGCTTTATCGGTGAAAATCTCACACCTAGGTTTCCAGTTTGTCATAACGGTGATCTATAACCCTCCAAGATAAACAGATTTTTAGAAAATTTAGATGCCTTTCTCGAGTGCATATCATCTTAAATACCACAGATTGTATGCGGAGATTTCAATTTAGATACATTAAAAAACCAATTTGATATGAGCAAATTACACAAACACGTTTAACTCATATGGTTTCGATCCTCTTGTCAAAGAGGCAACCCGAGTGTCATTAGTATCAAAAACTACTTGTATCGATCATTTGCAGTGATAAATATAAATGTCCTTGAACATCAAGATTTTTCGGATCTTTATCCTATCAGTCCTATTCCTATTATTCATCCTAATCCAATTAAACAAAAATAGGAAGAAGGCTTTGAAATTTTTAGAGATACCTCCTTTTCGAAGTCCTCTGATCTAGTTGACAAGTTTTTGTTTTTGCTCAATCATCGCCTAAAAGATTTAAAAATATCGAGTATTAATGAAAGTTTTGACAAATTTCCTCAGCTTTGTCAAAACACTCAATGAATATGCACCTATTTTACACTAAAAACAAAGAAAAAATTTCCTCCATTGTTTAGTAATCGAATGAAAAACTTGAGAACCAAGAGAAATAAATTACACAAAAATGATAAAAAACGACACGGAAAAGTTATACCAATTTAAGCGAGCGAGGCAACAGTTAAAAAAAGAAGTGTAAAAAAGACATTTTATTTCAACAAACCCAATAAATGCATCGGAGACTCCTGGCAAATTTGCAAACTGCTCAATGAGCTTGAAGCAAAACAATCGAGTACATTATCAATACCTAGTTTTTCCCCCATGTCACAGAGCATCCTTCAATTTCGACTGGTGGAACAATTCAATAATTTTTTGTAAGCATGGGTTTAACTATACAAAAAATGTGAATTTTTTTTTCTCGCAGAGATGAACAACTAATGAAATTTTGCAGGCATTGTTGAGTTACAGGCGTTGAAAACTTCTCCAGGCATTGAAAACTTCTCCAGGCGATGACAATATAAACAACCAAATAATCAAATTAGCAGCCTCAGTAATTTCGCAAATTCTCTCGAAATTAATCAATCTATCCTTTCAAGAAGGCAAATTTCCGAGTGAATTAGGAAAAGCTCAAGTTTTACCATTATACAAAGTTGGTTCAAAGAATGATTTTCCAATTGCAATACTGAATGCTTTGAGTATGGTTTCTAAGCGAGTAATGTACAATAGAGAATATGCATATTTCGTGAAAATCATTTTTTTTATAATCAACAGTTTGGATTTAAAATTAAGCATAGTACCATTGATGCCTTAGTAGAGGTAACTGAAAGGTTACGACATGGAAAAAGTGGCAAAAAAGTCAACTTTTTTGGATCTCAAAAAGAAACGTTTGATACTATTGATCATGAATTGCTAATTAAAAAAATGAACTTTTACGGAACAAGAAGCAAAGCATCAGACAGGTTAAGCAGTTATATAAGTAATCGTCAACAGCGTGTAGAAAAGTCTGAATCAACTTCTTCTGGGAAACTCAATGTTTGCGGTGTGCCACGGCTCAATTTTAGGTCTTCTGTTGTTCCTTATCTATATAAACGATCTTCTAATTCATGTAAAAACACTGAGGTGTTTCACTTCGCAGACGATACAAATTTAAGTGCACTAGGATGCGCAGCCTCAGAAGTTTAAAATGATTTGATCAAAATAAAAGTGTTTGGTTGAATGCTAACAAACTTGCCTTGAATTTAGACAAAACACAGCAATCGAAAGTAGGGTTAAGTGCTTCCAATTTAAACCAATCATTTTCTATCAATCATGACGTTGAAATTGCATCTTTTTGCAGTTTTTTAGGGATTAATAGACCCCAAAGTATCATTTGTATCATCAAAAAACACAAATTCAACATGTTTCGAAAAACTAGCAACTCTAAGTAGAATCGTTTGTAAACTTCGCCATTTTGTTCCCAGAGATCACCCTCACAGCAATTGGGTTATTACCGCCAAACGTGTCTTGTTTATCTTCGAGTAAACTACATTTTATAACACTTGAATTAAAAAATTCTTACATCTTAAATAATTCAGAATTAATTAATTGTATATTCACATAAGCCGTCCGTGGCGTAGAGGTTAAATATGCGACTGTGTCACCAGGGATCATATGTTCGATTCTCAGCGCATGCCGGAAAAAAGGGTAATTAGGGATCAGGAGCTTGCTGGGTTTAATCAAACAAGGATAGTTAACTGAGAATGAGTAAGGGGAGGTAAATGGGCAGAATAGGAGAAGGTAAAAAGAGATAGAAAAAGGGTAGAAGGAAAATTAATTATTTAAATTAATTTTTAACTGAGCTTGTTTGGAATAAATTTTACCTAATTACAAAATGTTCGTACTGTCCATGGCGAAGCGGTAAAGCGACGGGCTCATCGCCGGATTCATAAGTTCAATCCCTTCTAGGAATCTTTTTTATCATATATATTTTATTTTGTCTGGTTTCCAAGCTTTCTCTGAAAGAACGTTAAAAAAACATTTTTGTGAATTTCTTTTTGTTAAAGTGAAAAAGGCGTTTTTTCCACTTAAACATAAATAACCGGTCATTACACAACTTCTGCCTGGGGCTTCTAGGTATGTTTGCATATATTCAAGAAAATCGACCGAGTAGTTGTCGAGATATTATAGTTGGGATCCTAATTTTTGGACACCCTATATTTATATATATACTGATTTTGTTGTGTTCCAATAGGCAGGGTAGGTTTAAAGCAGATCAGCTGATCTCGTTACCTATCCTTTCAAAATTAATTGCAGTTATTCTAATTGTAAAAATTAATGTTTGAAAATATACACTGTATTTTTGATAAATTAATTCTTCTACATGTTTAAGAGTCCCTATGTCGACATGTTTTAGATATTAGAGCCAGCACGTAAAACTTTTTACCGAACATACACGTGTTAAGGAGCAAAAGTTTCCCGCTGTTTTTTAAAAGGTATGTGCCTCCGCGTTTTCTCCAAATAGTGTGCTTGCTTTTTTCTCTTTGATCTTATGAGTGATGTCTTTTGTCTTTTTTTATCTTTATTTCTTGTCTATCTTTTAATCTAAAGAATAAACATGAGTTTTTAGAAAATTTAGATTCCTTTCTCGTGCAGATCGTCTCAAACGCCACAGATTGTATGCAGGGGCTTCAATATAGATACATTAAAAACCAATTTGATAAGTGCAAATTACACGAACACGTTAAACTCATATGGTTTTGATTCTGTTGTCAGAGAGGCAACCCGAGTGTGACCAGTATCTAAAACTTGTCTTGATCATTTACAGTGGTAGATATAGAGAGATACCTTTCTCTCTTTGATCTTATGAGTGATGTCTTTTCTTGTCTATCTTTTTATTCTGTCTTTTTATCTATCTTTTTTTCTCGATTTTTAATCTATCTTTTATCAATTTTTTTAACTATTTTTTATCTACTATTTAAATCTATCTTTTTATCTGTTTTTTTTTTTAAAATCCATCTTGTTTATCTATCTTCTCAGTACAGTTTTAACTGTCCAAATCTTTCCTTATTTCGCAATTTTTTAAAGAATTTCGTATCAATGTTTTTTTTTGACAAATTTGAAGTTCAACTCTTGGGGGGTGTAATATCAGGGTACATTGTGGAGTTGCAAATCACTCCTCCAAATATTACTGCTCAAATTTTTTTGGTTTTCGAGATGTGGCGTTTTTGTGTTTTTTAAAAGCTTCCTTAAAACATAATTAATAAACAGTAAAATAAATTTGACTTCATCAACCTTTTTTGTGGTGTGCTATCGCGTTTCACCTAGGAGTTGGAAATCTGTTCTCTAAGTATCATTGCTCAAATCATTTTGGGTTTCGAGATATAAGGTTTTAATGATTTTTTTTTCATAAACACTAGAAAAACATGAAATTCTCTAGAGGTGATATCAAGATACATTCAGAAGTTGCAAATATGCGCTCCAAATAATTTTGCTCAAATCTTCTTGGTTTTGAGATTTTGCATTTCTTGTTAATTTATTTCAAAAAACTTAGATATAAAAAATAACATAACTTTGAATTCTCAAGAAAAGCTACCAAAATTTTCAATCCTATTTTGTTTTCCTGTCACGATACTCTTAGGGGCTATAAATTTTGCTTCTCTTCGAACTTCTTTTTTTTAGTTTCTGAGATATGAAAATTTGATAATCGATTTTTGTTCAAGTTTTTCAGCAAACTAAAGTTTTTTTTTAAAAAAAACTTGATTTTTGTTAGAACCTGATTGTTATTAGAACATTAAATTTTTACAACAGGATATTAGTTAGATTTTATGAAAAAAACAATATGAAAAAAGCTACTGAATGCTGTCTGCATTTTAGATTTTTTTTTGTTGAAAATTGACATATCAGATGAAAGTAGTTTTAAAGATACACAATTTTGTTGAAGTATAAGTTTAAAGTTGACTTATAAATCGTTCAATAATGGAATTAGTAAACCCCGATGTATGCGCATTGTTTAATGGAACGGTTGCAATAGTTTTTGATGATTTTTGTGTATTTTTTAAGAAGCTCTTTTCACGTTCAACGATATATTCAAAGCACTGAATGTGCGAGTTATGTGCTAGTATTGTTTAATTGAGCGAGATATTTCCAGCCATGTTTCAGCCAAGCTCACATGATAAACATTCATATGCACCTTTATTTATTTTAGTTGCAATCTATGTTAACATAGCTATTGCTGTGCAAATAAGTTTTAACGTTACTGTTAACCTGCGGATTTGCATCTATCATTGGTTTTGCTCCTAATCGCACATTTGCCATCGAAAATTTAGGGCTGATTGAATTTGTAAAACGTTCGAAGTATGGCGTTTTTCAAGCTTTTTTGATTTTACAACAAACTAAGCTATCAAAACATGAAATTATCAACCCTATTTTGTTTTCCTGTCAGGGTACTCTTAGGGGTTATAATTTTGACTTCTTTTTGAACTTCTTTATTTTAGTTACTGAGTTTGAAAAATTTGATAATTGATTTTTATTCAAGTTTTTCAGTTAGCTTTTTGATATTTTTCCAATTTAATTTTAGGTGCGGTTGAATCGGCAGTTGAAGTTTTCCACATTGTCTGGCGTTTTTTGAAAAATATTCTGAACGATTTTAAAAAGTGAAAAATAGCTTAATGCAGCAATTTGTTTTAATTTGTTTTTTTTTGAAAATGCTTCCCAATGATTTTTTTTCGTTTGCTGCCTCTGTTTAAGTTTTTTTTTTAAAAAGCGGCGCATTTTTGTTTTTCTAAAAAATTATCGTCGCCTTTTAATCCTTTTTAAATAAAAAAATGCTCATTGGTTTTCAATTTTCTTTTATTCAAAAACGTTTTATTCAAAAGGTTTGCAGTCATTTCTTTTTTTCCCAACGCAGCCACTGGACGTCTTTTATTAATTATTTCTATCGCTGAATCAGGTTTTGGTTGATTATTTCATCATTGCGAACCTCTGAGTTGTTGACTTGGTTCGATTTTAAAATCATTATATAATTTGCAGAAAAACACCCGGTACTCTTTTCAGTTTCGAAAAAAGTATCCTTGATTTTTCACAACACTTAAAAGTCAATCTTTAAATTTTTTTTCTAATGATCTCATTCTTTTGTTATATTTTTTGATGATTACGCTGAGTTTGCGAGTCCTATTTTTTTAGCTCCAAATAACGACACCCGATACTAGCTTCGGTTTGGAGAAAAAATTAAAATCAGTTATTTGACGTAGGTCTGATTTCAATTTTTCTTATGATCGTGTAATTTTTTGAACTTTTCTCTGATGAATTTTTTTCTTGCTTATAATTTAATGACTTGCGATAATAATTTAGAATGCAGAAAAATCTGCACTTTATCGCTGGTTTTTATTTGATTTAAATTCAGCGTGTTTGCTTGTTTGGCGCTGATTTAATGTCCATGCATGGTACGATTATGCCTGTCCTTCTAGCAAACTTTCCGCTTGAAGGAAATAACTATCGGCTTCAGTTTTTTCTTGTCGGCTCAGTTGCGACAGCAAGAATTTTTCTTGTGATTATGCAATTTCAACTTAAATTGACAAAAATTTTGGTGTTTCTATGGTCCATGTAACTGAGTTCTAATGGTTTTACAAAAATAATTTTTGAAAATTTTTTGATACACGATTTTAGGACAATTTTTTGTGTTTTCATCTTCTTTGTCTCTAGAAAGCAGTAAATAGAGCCGTCTTTGTTTTGTACACTAGCCGTATCAAATGGGTTGAAAGCAGAATTTAAGCTGATTGCAAAATGAAAAACAACCGTTTTTCCCCCAAATGATTTTTTCTACTGATTTGTTTGAGCTTTAAAATTCATCGTAGTATTAGGCAATGGCTGGATATTGCTCACTTTTGAAATACTTTTTTTTTCACACCTGAACACGGCATTTTTAATCGCAAGTGAAAATAGATAAAAATCAAAAGGTTAGTTTATTTTTGTGAATACACTTTCAAAATTGAATGGTTTTTGCCTTGTAAGTAGTGGCGAGTGGTGGTATGGTCAATTCAAAAATACTGATTGCAATTCCGATTACAATGACTCCACAAAACAAGGTCCACAGCGCATCTGAGAAAGTGATTATGACAAATCCCCCAATGAAGAAAGTCTCCATCAGTACTAGTTTCATTAGTGGGCTGGTCTCGTAGCAGAAGATGATGATTAGCATAGCGGCAATTAGGTTGAACACATAGCACACGGCGACTATGCTTCCAGTCGAAGTGGAGTTGCACTCAGTCGCTGGTGGTTTTACAATGCTACTGAAACAAAAAGCATATCTTTGAACTAGAGTATGAAGTGTCGCATAGAATATGTCGACTGCAGAATTTGAATCTTCGATGTACCCCCGGCAATTAAAATTCAGTTAACAAGCGGGCTTTTCATTCATACACAATCAGGTGCGGCCAAGAAACGCGTCATCAATATTATGGATAATGTCAATTTTTTTTCAAGACAAGTGTGAAATTTGTTGGTACTCTTTGATAAAATGCTATCGATATGTCGTTAAATTTTAAGTTATCGAGATATCGTAATTTTTGTACAATTCTTTAGAACACAATTGATAAAAATATGATTTTTCAAATTTTTCAGTGAATCATTCAAAAAAAATTTCTAAAATGAGATGAAACATCCAGAGATTCTAAGACGCTTTTATATATGAAATTCAATCGTTTATAGTCAGCATGAAATTCAGACCAGTTTTTCTTGACACAGAATGATTTTATAATCACCATTAAAACGATGAATAGCGACTGGTTTTCAATAAGATACTTCACTTGACCCAGTACGAGCTTTTTTTAGGTAGTCTAAATCGGCTGGAAAAAATCCACCTTCGAGAGTGGTCGGAACTATAACGTAGTAGAAGTTTACAATTGAACTAACTGTAGTAGATTTTTGGGTCTAGTGGTCGCAACTGAAAGCAAGTCGTGTGCAGCAGTTGACAATCCAGATCGAATGCTTAGCTGAGTCGTTGCCATCGCCCAAAATGCAATTATGTTGTTCAGTTTTTCACTCTCACTGTTTCCTGCAGCAATGATTCCCATTTTGTGCGTTTTAAGGCTTAGTTATCATTTTTATCTTATACACTACTGGACCTGTTTAATCGGAGTTTTTTTTTTGGTTTATCTCTAGAATCTTCCTTTCAATGGTTTTTACACTAGTGGATAAAATTAAGTGCAAATCGAAATTTTTACTATCTAAATTGCCTGTTTTCGATGTCCATTTTGGACAAAATTTACTTCAATTTTCTGCAAAATTTTCACAGACCAAGGGCAGATAATCACAGCTACACTCTATGTAACTATCAATTTTTGGTTGCTCTTGGTCGATGATCTTTTTGCTCCTGATCATTTGCTCTTGGTCTATGAAAAAATTTTGCTGAAAATTGAAGTAAATGTTGTGCGAAAAGGACATTGAAAACACGTATTTTAGAGTAAAAATTTCAGTTTGCTCTTATATTGACCCACTAGTGTAGGATCTACAGGTTTAAAATGGCGTCAAAATAACTGATTTTGAGATAAAGCAAAAAAAAATCAAAACTTTTAAGCTAGTCCATTAGTGCAATTATTTATTCTTTTCATTACTTTTGTTGGTTGCATTAAAAGCTGTGTTTTTATAGATTAGTGTGAACAAAGTTAGCATGTAGCTGAACAAGTTACAATATTTGGATAAAATGCCCCCTGTTTCAAAAACATTAAACAGTCAGCGGAGCGTTGAAGTGGCTCGAAATGAGAAATATGCGAACGTGAACTTGGACAAGGTCGGCGATCTCAAAATGTTCACCGAGGAGCTTTTGTATGACTACCGAAACCAAAATAAACGTTTGGATGAGTTGGAGTTCATCGTAAAACACATGACAGCAGAACAGAGTTCCGAAAAAAACGACGAGCGGAGAATTAATTTACTGAAAATGCAAGTTCTGCAGTTAGAAAGACAAATTCAAGTGCTTTATGAAGGTATAAAACAGCGCACGGGGCTTATTAGCGACGCTGTTTCTACAATCGATAGATCATGTGACGATTTGAGACGTTTCGTCGCACAAGATGTAGGAAGTACGGAAGTTTCTGTTCCGAGGAGAGTTTTAATTTCTAGCGTTGAACACTTAAATGGGGCGAAGAATCAGCTGTCACAATCATGTCATGTGTTAGACTCAGTGGCATTGGGAAAACCAGTTTTGTTTGACGCCGCAATTAATTCTTCCGTATGGCCAGCTAATAAAGCCGAAGTGAGTTTCAGAGGCTTAGATCCTGATCAGGGTAATCTGTCCTTACTCGACTTGATAGTATCCTCAACATTCCAAGAAAAGCTGAATTTAATTAGCCTGCCAAATCTGGAATCTCTGGTTTCGAACGTTCATAAAGACTTAACTGGGATAAAACAAGCGGTTTGCAATCTAAACAGACCTATTTCAATGTTGGAGTCAACCGCTATTGACTGCCTGTCGCTCCCCTTGGACAAACTTAATTCCCAAGTATCATGTTGTTTACATGCTCTGGAGAGTGTTTCAAGCGAACTGTTGCTTCTGGCGTTTTTATTTCCACAGCTCAGTGTCAAAAAGCGAAAAAAGAAAGCCGTGAAGATAGACGAAAGCGGCTATTTTATAACTCAACAATCGGTCTATAAAGCATTTGCGCCCTTTTTGAAGAACACCAACGTTGTCGGTGTCTCAGAAGTCATTGGATCATTTATTGATTGCATGCAGTTACAATGCAACGTCTCTAATCATGTGAGACAGGCAGCAGAGAACGAATGTAAGTTTTACAGTTCAGTCTACGAACTTCAGATCAAATACCAGACTGATCTGTTTGAGTTAACTCAAGTTGCGTTCGAGAACTTCAACAAAGATCTGAAACAGGAATTATGTGACCCGCTTGCCGACGTTTTAACTCATTACGAAAGACTTACTCAGAAACCCACTGATGAAAATCTGAAAACTTTCCTAAAAGTTTTCAAACAACACGCGGATAAAATTACTAAATCGAACTATGCGATTCTAAGAAATGACGATAAAGGCCAAAGTGCAATTTCCGAGTTTGGTTCGGGGTTTCAAGATTCAGTTCTTAAACTCCGTAGAAAACGAGTAGCGGATATAAAGGACGAAGCATTGGCTCTCGAAGACGCTGAAAATGACTGGAAACGATTTCTAATATATAATCCTAATTTTGAAAAGGATAGTTTACCCGAAAACATTGCAGGTAGTGATAGTTCCAGACCCTCGACGCAAAGAAGTAGTCGAAGCACAGCTGACAGAAGTTCGCAAGTTCGTATTCGGACATCTTCGATTACGAGAAGCAGTGAAAAAATGAATCCTAAAGAAACCTTGCCAAACATTTCGCCAACACATGTGCCTAAGGATCACGGGCTGCCAGTCGTTAAAAGCAAGAAGAAGCGTCCACCTAGAGTATCATCTCAATATCCATTACCCGATATGGAGTTCTAGGTTGATTTTTGATCGAGTGAATTAAATCATTTTGAGTGCCTTGATATGACATTTAATATAACAATTGTATCATACTGTACATAGATGTGAAAATGATATCTTCTCCTAAATTTTGAATATAGAAAAGATAAAAATCACATAAATAATTAGTCTGGATTTACGTATATTGAAAACCAGGAAACACTTCAATCTATTGAATTATTGGTATTGTTTCTTCAGGTTTAGATTTGTTTGTGGGTGTGATTAGCTAGCTAGTCATTGTCGTTTGCTAGTCGTCGTCGTTATATTTTCATCTAACATTCATTGTCACTCTCATCAAACTTATCCACGCACCAAATTATTCCACGCAAAGTTAAGCATGGCCGACGATATCATGATGTCGGCTCAACCGAGCTCCTCTCTAGGCACGAGTAGTAGTTCATCACGTCTCGTATCTCACGACACAGCCGAGGACCTCTCGGACACGACACAAAACAACGAAGTGCTGCTGAACGTAATGCTAACGTCCGGCCACGAGCAACATATAAGAGTATCGAAAGATATTACAGTGCGAAAGGTGAAGCAATTATGTATTCCGAAGTATATCGAGGAAAAGAGGCTGAGTGATTTTGAGAGCAGCGGCGGCGTTCCGGGAGCGTGTGGTGGGGTGCCGGGTGTGAGCGACGACGATGACGACAGCCGATTCAAACTTGTTCACGCCAAAACGGGCAGGTGTCTTGCAGACACGCAGACCCTCTCGGACCAAAGTGTAATTCATTCAGGTCAGCTATATATTCAACTGAAAAATATCTTTTGAATGCTATTTTTTCACTCATATATTTTACTGTGATTTATTTCCATTTTATGAGTTTTCAAAAAAATTGGTTAAAGCTGAATTGATAGAAAAAGGTAAAAACGATTTTAACGAGAAAACGTTTATCCACCAAAGTACCATAGGGCATAGAGCACATACTAACAATAGAATCGCTGATTCATCGGTATTTCGTTGTGAAAGTCTAACAAACTGCATCTTTAATTGGTGCTTTTTAGATTCCTTGTTGTTGCTACCTCGGAAAACGAAACCGACGCAATTCACACCATTGGTTTGTGATCAGACTTCAAACAAATTAAATTCTTACTTTTTTGCTTCTGATTCTAATTGAAATTGTTGTTTAGAAAACAGGGGATGGTTGTAGTAGACCCTCCACTCTTACGATAGATGAAATAACGGGCCCCTTAGAGAAGAAAAACGACAGCAGAAATCCAAAGAAAGACTCAAACTTCAACAACGTAAGTGAAAAGTACTTTAACCACGATGCGAAGGCGAATCTCATTTCTTAGCTATCTTTTATAGTGATTTTTTGCTAAATTAAGTCTTTGTAGCCTCTACTGTAAAGATTCAATAAAGCTCTAACACACGCTTTGACATACTCTCCCTTTTGTTGATTTTGGACGAGATGTGTTTTCGATCTGACCACCCCATAGGTTAGATTTTTCTTGGGAAATCAGCTAGCTACCTGGTCCGTTATCTAATGTGGAATCTTTTTACAGTTTTTTTATTCGTGATTTGGGCTCCAAATAAATATTCAACAATGTCGGTATCAAGCGAATTTTTTGAGTTGAGTCTTCCTTTAGAATATCAACGACCGATTTAAATTTTTTTTCGGTTTATCTTTTGGCAATGATAACATAACATTTGACGGAACATTGCGAGTTACTCGCACAGTAGCCGGTTTCTCCTGTATTGGGCTCCTGTTTCAGTACCTGACTGAGATGAGGAAGATAATCTTGTCTCTGATCTATGTGTCCCACAGACTTCTCTGCCACAACAAAGAGGCAGTCGACATGTTCAAAGAGGCTATAGGTGAGACACAACACAGTCACTTTGCACTTGTTATGAAGAATAGGTAGAAAAGGTTCGAAATGTGCGCGTCGTAAGGAGTACAAGCAAATTGTTCAAGTACAAGAAAATCTATAAGCGATGTATCCAGCAGAGTTCCAACAGCCTCATGACACATGTTTCAATGAAAACGTACAGTAAATTGACCAAGTCATTTGAAGCCAGGATTTGTGCCTGGGGTCAACACAGGCATTCGCGCTCGAGAAGCTGATGATAATGTTATTATTTTAAAAAGCAAAAATGAAAGCATCAGTACAACTCAACAGTTCTACTGAAATGTGTAAACGAAAGGGATCAGTAAGAATATTGAAGCTGGAATACGAATCAGTTTATGGAAGATTTGTTGATGATGAATATTTAAGGCATTGAACTCTATTTTAATCCTGTTCAGTTTTGACCAGCAAAAAGATGATAAGATCTGAAATTTGGTCCTCTTATTTAGTTCTGCTGAAAGCGAGCCGAGCATGTGACGAGCGCCAATTTCGACTGTCGAGTGCTGGAAACAAAGGATCCAGTGCAGGTAGAAGGTCAACTGGAGAAGCATCAGAGACCTCTTCGTCCTCCAATCAGGACGGAGCCCTTCAGTCGGAGCCACATGTAGACCCGGACATGTTGAAACAGTTGACTGACATGGGCTTCAAGCCACAGCTGTCAAGACTGGCACTAATTGTCAATGCGTAAGTGTAAATTGTGTTCATAAACGACTAAATTATTTGATTCATTCATTAGAAAGCATCCGAAGCAATTTTTTTGTTAGCTGAAAAATGCTATATTGATTTCATTAAGATTTTCTCACGTGTGTGTAAAGACGTTTTTTTTGGCTTTGTGTAGGCACGAGTATCAAAAGATATTTGGAAACGTTTATCGAAAAAAAAATGTTTTTGCACCTGTTGGAAGGTTTATTTTATTGTTTATGTAATTAAAACCTGAAACCCCGAAGTGTAGTTTTAATAATACGACAATGTGATGATGATAGCGTAGAGTTAGATGCAGCAGGCTTGCCATTCAGAAGTTTATAATAGTTTTTTTTTACAGCATGTCATTATCAATGGCCACAGAATGGCTATTAGCACATGGAGATGACGATGAAGACACGACAGCAGCTATTCTCCTCACTCAGGCTGGTTCGCCCCCTCCCCCGTCCTCAAACGACCCCACCCCCACCAACCTCTCGCCACTGGAGACGACAGGGGAGGAAGGTGTTCAGCCAATGGAAGTAGATGTAGATGTGGGAGGAGCTAATAGTGGGAATGATGGGAACCACTCGATGACCAGTCAAGACGAGACAGTCACGTGTGATGGACTGAGAGTTCTACAGGAGTTCCATGACTTGTCATTTCAGCCAGACGCCAAGGTTAGTTCAAACAATATCAAGCTAGCTGTAGCTAAAAGAATTTATTAATCTATTCCTTAGTAAATAAACCTGTCTGTCACTGGAATCAGATAATTGATGTATCTTGAATAAACTAGGAATGAAGGAATGAAAATAATAAATTTGAAAAGCCAGCTACGAAGTCAGTGTGTTCCTTTTATGTTATTAATAAAAGCTATGTTTTCAATTAAGTTTTCTGTAAAGGGGTCAAATTCAGTCGGAAGTCGTAAGGCTGATGATCTTGAGTTTCAAGCCTCTTTTTTGCATAAATTAAATGGTCTTAGTTTCAAAGAATTGGATTTGTTATAGGCTTTGAAGAGTCTGCTGGACATGGGTTTCCCTAAGAAAGAAAGCTACGATGCGCTGCGTATAAACGGAAACCACGAGAACTTCGCTGTGAGTCAAACGTCATTCTCATTCCAATCTTGAGAAAATTCTCATAGGTTTGAAAGTCTTGTCGAAAGCTGATGTCTTTTCGTATAATTTCGTTTCAAGCTAAAATTTATTCTGCTAACTAGATTTTGTTCGTTCAATTTTTAAATTATGGGGTGCGCAAAGGTGGTCTTCTCGAAAAGGCCTGTCTATTTTTTGAAAAATATTTGAAAGTTTTTCATGACGTCAATTGTTTGTAATTGAAACCCCCAAATGTACTGAATGATGGCGTTAATGTGTTGCTTGTGTCGTGTAGTGTGAGTGGCTGTTGAACTGGCCCAGAAGACCGACAGTGGAGGAGTGGGAGCAGGGCATAGACTCCACCAGTCCCATGTACAAAGCCATAGTGTCCAACCCTCTCGTACAGCTACTCCTCAACAACCCCAAGACACTTCTAGGTGAGACAAAAAGAGCATTTTTCTTGTTTGTCCATCACCACCACTATGGAGCGGTTGTAAAAAGTTAATTTTATTGATGCCATTTAATAAAATTTCTTATCAATGAATGAAGTGAAAACACTCAACCTGAAGTTCGTTGAAAAATAAAAACTCACTCGTTTTTGCTTCCTTGAGTTTTTATAGCCTTTTCAAGTTGTCTGTTTGCTACTTTTATGAATGTTAGGTTTTTGATGTTACTGAGGGTTAATGAACGAAAAGATTAAGATCTTGGTGATTTTTTGTTTTTTTTTTCAGAAAAAGTTTTAAATTTTGTTTACGCTCAAATTTAACTTTTTGCGATTTGACTTGTGATTTCTCTTTAAGTTCAGATCGTTTTTTTTTGGTTAATACAGTTCATTGTTAATTCAGTTCAGTTCATTTCTCCGCTATCAAGCAGCAAAAGTGTACAGGTCGCGAAAAATGTGATCGACTTCGTTTTGAAAGTAGATTGTAATTTGCAGATTTACTAGCGGAGTGAAATATTTACCTTTTGATCCACTTTTTATACTTGCGAGCTTTATTAGCGAGCGAAGTGTAATAGTACGGCTATTCTTTCTTTCCAAACTAAGTCCCAAATATATTGGTGGCAACGTTAGGGCTTTTTGGCAGAATGTGCTCTGATATTCGATTAGTAATAAGTTAAGAGTTGATGCATTTAAATTAATCAAACGAACCGAAAAAAAAAGTTGCTTCAAACAACTACAAAAATAAAAATTTGATTTCAGAAATTTTCCTACTCAAGATGTCTCGCAATTTTTTTGAAATAAAAATTTATACATAATTTGACTTTATGCTTTCCAATTTATTACTTGCAAAGTTAGTGTGAAGGACTTCAGTTTTTTATTAAGAGCAATGAACGTAGTGAGTACTCTTATGCAGGTCTTGCTGATTTTTTAAAATATTTTTTTCATGAAAATGTCTTGAACTGCTCACGCTCAATTTTAATTTTTCGCGGTTTGATTTGTGATTTCTTACGAAGTTCAGTGCATTTCTATTGTTGAAAGGAAGGCAAACTCCACTATCGAACAGCAAAATTGTAAAGGTCAAGAAAAACGTGATCGAATTCTAATTTTGAAAATGAAAATTAATTATCAGATTTCCCAGCGAAATAAAAATTTAACAGCGAAACTTAATGAAAGTTAATTATCCGATTTCGAAAAAGTTTTAACAGCGAAACAGCAAAATTTTAAATGTCAAGAAAAACGTGATCGACTTCTAATTTTGAAAATGAAAATTAATTATCAGATTTCCCAGCGAAATATAAATTTACCAATTGATCCAGTTTTCTCATAGTGGGTTTATTTTAACAAAAAAGTGTCCATCATAAATTGTCTTCAAATTCAAAGAGCTTTAAGGCCATCTTATTTTTTCTTCAAAATCCAAAAGTTGAAGATGTTTGAAAAAACAAGTCGGCTTTTTTCTAAGTTTCCTTGTGTTCATTACTCTTTTCCAACTGTCAATTGGCCATGTTATTCCATTTGTTTACATGCAAAATTGTGTCTATTTGTATTTGGTTCCACTTTTGCTGCATTGCATTGACATTTTGTTAGCTTATTTATCTGCTTTATTTGTAAGAAGTGTTTGTCGATAGATAAGCGTCTGCGGTCGAGAGGGCAGTGAGTGAGACTCCAAATCTCACGGTTGCAGGGAGGTGCGAATCCGATTCGTAGAAAAGTTTTACCAAATCGACGCTTGTTTCTACTTTTTTTATTTCACTTTAAAGCTCCTTTTTTGGTGTTTCTGTTAGTGTTTGCCTCTGTGTCTCAAATTGTTTCAATTGTATCAAAAAAAAACAGTTCAATCCTGAAATGTTCTTGATATTCAAAGAGCATTAAGTTCATTTTTGCTTTGTCATATAAGCATTTTGTGTCCTATTTACTAGAGCCGTTGTAGCTAGATGTTTCTTCAAAGATTTATATATCTTTATAGTTGATTTTTTTAACGAGCGCTTACTTGAGTTATTTTATCGAGCGTTAACGTGAGATTTTAACGAGCCGAAACGTGAGTTATGTTATTCTTTGAAGCTCGCAAATAATAAAATGATTAAAAAAGTAGTTTTTTTTCGGCTTGGTATTGTTCATTTCTCCAATGATCCTGGGTTGAAAATTTGCACATTGTTTTTTTATGATCAATTTTAAAACAGTTCCGATTGATTTTGTGACGCGAATGACAAGTTAAATTATGATCAGCTGCTATCAAATCTTTTTCATAATTTTATGAAAAAGATTTGATAATAGCTGATCATAATTTAACTTGTAATTCGCGTCACAACATTAACCTGAAGTGAACCCTTATACGGTAGCAAAAACGACAGAAAAGGAATTGGAACTGTTTTTAAATTGATCATAAAAAAATTTGCTAATTTTCAACCCAGGATCGTTGCAAAATGAAAGACTCAAAACACTATCTTATAACTAAGGTGCAAATGATGGAAATAGCGTTAATGTCTTTTAGTTTCAAACTTCATATTCGGAATTCCCAGGAGCCTTGAAAATTAATTATCGACCTATTTTTTTTTCGAATTATGGTAAAAAATTTAACACAGTTGATACATTTTTTTTTGTCATCAAATGACCGAATAAAGCTTCTGTTTCTTACAACAGTACAATAATAAAACCCCTTTTTCAGGAAATTTGGAGCTCAGTATATTTCGCGGATATTTTGAATTGAAGTCTAATTTTTTACATGCTAAATTTATAATTTTCTGCATTTTTAGCCCCTTTAGCCGCTTTCTATAAGCGTCGGCAGCACAATTGTTTAGGGCCGATCACTAAAAAACTCCAATTTTCCGAAACTTTTTAGCTTTTTATTACACTGGCGATAGAAAGTGTATTGCAACCGGGTACTACACTTTTTCCCCGTAAATAACTTTGTTCAAAATGGTCAAAATTAGAAATGATTAATTTAGATTCAGTCATAATGAATTCAAGATTTTATCTCCGGTTTTCTTGGTCCGGAGGTAATAAATACGCCTGGGACGGCAGAGGTACTGAGTTGGAATCTGACAGGACCTGTTTTTTTTTTTCAATTGAAATATTCCGTTAAAAAAAACTTTCAGCTTTCTATTTGTCTGCTTATGTTTTGTCGGCTTAGTTGCCACATCGTAGAATTGTTTTTTTTTGCTGTACGCAATTACTATTATAGTTGCTTTTAGTGTTTTGGTTTACTTCTGCTGTTTGGGTTTTTACTAACCTTGACTTTATATATTTTCTTTTTTTTTTGCTTATAAACTTAATTCTGTTCAAATTATTTCGGCCTGTTTTTATTGGCCTTATATTGCATTGTTTGATGATCGAAGAACATTTTCGAATGTGTTTGTGAACACGAACATGTGTTGGTGTTTTGAGGTGGAGGGGAGGGAAACATTTTTTTAGTTTGTCTGTTTGAATTTTTTCGGCTGAAACGTTTTCAGCTCAGGTACTTTGGGATTGTTTGCCGCTTGGAAAGTTTTCTTCATATTCTATTGTCTTGACATGTTTTTTCAAAGCTTAGCTGGATTCCTTTTCCGTATTTTAATTTTGATTAAGAGTAATGAACGTAGTGAAGACTCTTATATAGCTCTTGCTGATTTTTTTTTCAGGAAAAAGCCGTATAATATTGATGCACTTAGATATACATGAACTTTTTGAGTTCGATTGAAATTCATCTGCTGAAATTGACGTAAATAGCGCTCTCCAAATACAAACGTGCAAATGGCGCAAAAATTCGTGAGGAATTTCTAGTTTAGAAAGTGGAGTTTAAAGGGCATCTATTTTTTTCTTTGAAATTCGAAAGTTGCGATTTTTTCAACAAAGCGTTTTTTTTGTTTACTTGCGTTCAATACTCTTTTCCAATGTTCGATTGGCTATGTTTTTTTTCGGGCTTTTTAAAGCTTCATCTTGGCGTTTTTTTTTGTTTTTAATTGCAAAGTGCACCTTCGTCTCTGTGTAGAATTCTTAGGATTGTTGGGCTAACGCTTTCGGTTCATCGCAACGTAAACTTTTGTTTCACGTATTTTTCCAGGAAGGAGTGTCCGGGTTGTTTTGATTGGTTATTCCAATGTTTATTTTGTTCTTATCATTACGTAAAGATAAATTACATGGTCATCAAAAAAGAGGTGTTTAATGTTTTGTCAAGTTGTTTCCATTTGCAAGTACCTTTAAAAATAATGTATGTTATGAGTTTGAGATATTCTTTGATATCGATCTGTATATCTCAGTTAAATTCAAACTGCCGCCAAATGTTGACATCAAAGCTTGTACCAATACCTTGATATAAGACTAAAGAAATCCCCAGTATTATTGTCACTATGTTATTATTCGTCAAATGTCTTTTCCGACCCAACATGGTACCCTGCCGCACAAAGCATTTCCCTACAGGCAGTTGGGCTTTTCAGACCTTGAAGTTATTATTTTTAATGCCTTTATGATTTAAATTTATTAGCTTATCTACGAATAACCCGCTGCTTTTCGTGTTCGAGATAATAAAAGAAACTTGAGGTCAAAATTGGTACGATAGTTTTTTTTCACATAACCAGATTTTATTATCGAAGTTTTGATATCTTCGGTACAAGCGAAACAAATTGAAAGCAAGAGTAACCGATTGCAGTGTAGCAGTGTATGTTGCTCTTACAGAAAGTTCCGACCGTTTTAACAAAAAAGAAAGTTTTTTTTTACAGTCGATGAACGTAGTTCAGGTTTTTATATAGGTAGTGTTTTTAGAAGTCTTAAAATTTATTCAGACTCAATTTTTCTTTTTCGCGGTTTGACGTGGTTTTAAGTTCAGTTCATTTCTTTGGTTAAAGGGAAGGCAAATTCCACTATCGAAAAACGCGATCGACGTCTAATTTCGAAAATGGAATTTAATTATCAGATTTACCAGCAAAATAAAAATTTAATCTATTAATCCCGTTTTCTAAAATTGGGTTAATTTGATCGAAAAAGTGCCGGTCATAAATTGCTCTAGAAATTCGAAGAGCTTTAAGGCTATCTATTTTTTCTTCGGAATTTGAAGTAAAAAAACAAGTAAAAGTTTTTTCTATTTACTTGCGTTCATTGACTCTTTTCGAACTATCTGTTGGCTGTCTTTGTAAAATTTTGCCGTTTTTGTGCGTGATGTGGCGAGAGGAAAAGCGAAGCCTACTACTTCGCTTTCGAGAAGCAAGCGTTATCAAGCTAGAATAAAGACTTTTTTTTCGGGTTAACAGCTAGGTTAACAAAATCAGTTGAATCACTTCTTTTCACTTCTCTTCTTATCTTCTCATCACTTCTCTTCTTACCCTCTCTTAACATGTTCCAGGTTGCTTCCCTCGAGGTAAAGCAGTTGCCTTTGTACCCTAAGGTCTGGGGTTCGAGTCGTGGCCGGACTTTTCATAAAATCTTTTTTTTTTCGGTTCAGTTGGTGTCTGCTCAAAGATGGTCGGCTTAGTTGCCCAATCACTGATTTTTTTTGCGGTAAGCAACTTTCATTGTAGTTGCAAGTGCAAGTGCTGTTCATTCTAGTTTCAAGGGGAACTTGAAAGATTTTTAAAATCTTTTTTTTTCTGTTCAAGTTGTTTGAGCTCAAAAATTGTTGGCTTAGTTGCCACAGCACTGATTTTTCTTGTGCTGTAAACAAATTTCATGGTAGTTGCTAGTGCAATTGTTGTTTAAGGTGGGACTTTAAACATCTTTTTTTATATAAAACCATATCTTTTTCGGCTCAATTTGTGTCTGCTCAAATATTGTCGGCTGTTTTTCTTTCTTAATTTTGTTCCGTTGTTACTGATTTAAAATTCAAGTTCCTGGCTCATGTTTTTCTGGAATGAAATTCTATCGAGACATATGAAAGTTTATTTGACCTAGTTTTTTTTCAAAATTTTCATTTTCGGCTTTTTATGTTTTTATTTTAGGTTAGTGTTTTATCGCAACTGATGCGAAGCTCCGCTTCGCCTCTGTGTAAACTAATCATAATCGACTACAAGTCTCTTCAAAAAAATGAATAAATGCAACAAAACTGAATGAGAAAATTTAAGCTGATTGTTTCAGTGGTCGGTAAAAAATAAACCCTTTATTGTGAGATTATTTGATGTAATTAGCTTCAGCTAAACCTTATTTATAATTGATAAAGGGAAGTTCATGCTTAAGTTTCACAGAAATCGCTAAGCAACGCATGGAGTTAGTCATTCCTACCGTAGTTAAATTGGCTTTATCTTAAATAATGATGACAATTGAATAGAAAAAATATGGTAAATGTCTAGTGAATACTTAATACCTGCAAGTTATAGATCAATTCTAAATAAATATTTTCAGCCCTGGAAGATATTCTGGGACACCCTAACTCTATGAGTCACTACCTGAATGACCCGGACGCTGGGCCTCTCCTGGTGCAGATATCCTCCATCTACTCCACCGAGAGACACTCGGACGCCCAGCTGCAACATAACCAGCAGCACCAAACCACCTCAAGCAGCAGTCAGCAACAACAACAACAGAACATCAGTCCCACCAGCTCACAGGTCAGTTTAGGCCACGTGATAAAAATAGGAGTGGGTGGATTTTGTGGGCTTTAGAATGAGAAAATGCTCTTATTTAGTCACTCGAAAGTATTCGTTTGTCAAGACAATGGCAGTATTAATTTTCATGATTTTACCCAGCGTACCCTGGTTTTATTTTTAATACTTTTTGTGCTCTTTTAGAGTTCGAAAGTAATGGAAGTGTGAAATTTAACAAATGAACAGATTATCATCTTAGTGAAATTCTGACTGTTAGATGTATTTAGGTGTCAACTTCGGCCGGGGCCTCGATGGATTCGACCGGAGAAGAGGGACTGATGGATCCAGTGTCATCCGCAGACGAAGATGATTCCCTTTCCACTCTCATTTGAGCAAACAAAACTATATTATATGTCCTCTCATCTCAGGACTCTTTTAAATCAAGGAATCTGCTATTGCAACTCAAGTTTAGACCTACTAGTAATATCAGATTCAAAGTCTTCATATGAGGCGAGGTCCAATCAGTTGTAATGATTACTGATGTGGTGAATGTAATTTAGTTTTAGTATAAATAATAACCTGGTTAGAAATCACTTGGGGTAATATTTAAATCATAAATGCAAATTTTGTGCGATTTAGACTGAAAGTTATCTTCTGTTCATTTGGAAGTTGACGTACCTTAACATAACAGACCATGACCGAAGAATAGAACTGAACAGTTTTTGTTGTATGTTTATTTTTGTTTGTTATACGAAAAGGTTCGGTGCTATTTCTAGATCGGCTTCTTTGCTCACTACTACACTACCAAAAGCCACTACCACGTCTCAAACATATTTCATTTCCAACTGTAAGACTGAATGCTGTCTGTAAATGATCTGCTTCTCATATTATTTCTTCGTTTAGATTTGAATCTTTTGAGAAATGATTTTCACAAAACTCGAAATCTTTTTAACATACAAAGAAAACTGTCTCAATTAATAAAATAGGACTGCTTGTAGGGCAACGCTTTGAATGTTCCGACTGCCTTTTAACTGGTCTCGGAAATTTAGGTAATTAAAATATTGACAAAATGTGAATTCCATAGGCTGTCAATACCAAATTTCATGTATTAAAGTTTGAGTCGCGCATGGAATTCACAAGATTGCTCATATATCAGAGCGAGGCCCTGAATGTTCCACTGCATAATTGACGAAATAATAAAAAAAAGAATTTTTTCTTATCCCCATCATGCTATGTAAGATACGAAGGGTGTGTTTAGCGTCTCTTATTATTTTAAAAGGACTAAATTGCTGGCTTCAATTCAATTTGAAACTCATTAATCCGTCGCTTAAGCGTGTTATACGAACGCAATATTTTGCGCGTTAATTATCCCAAGTTGACCCAATTAGCCATTTTCAAACCCCCGTAAGTTTATTCGTGTTTTTCTCGTTTTCCGCCGGTCTACTCGATATTCGTTTTTCTATTTCACTAATGTAACTGCAGTTTTTTTCGAACTTCGTTTTCAGTTTTTTAAGTTGAGCTAAAATTGGTTTTCCATGACAATTTAGCTAATTGATTAGAATATTGATCTGCTTTAGATCTAAAATTGGATATATCTTCTAGACTTCAATGCAAAAGGAAGAATTTAGGACCAAGCTTACGCTATTTGGTTTTGTTTTATCCAAAAAATATTTTCAAATCTTTAGTGTCATTGAATGAAGTAGAGTTGCTTACTTTGGAACTGTTGACTTTTTTCCTTTTTCTAAGTTTTAATTAATTTTGTTCAGACTAAAATTTTTTTGTTTGGCTAGCTTCAGTTTTGAGTTGATTTCAACAATTTGCTTAATGGAAGCTAAATTTAAACTGTCCACAAAAAATGAAAATGGCGCGAAACAAAGAATGACTCAAATTTCAAATACTGCATTTTTGCTCATTAAATAATTCAACAAAATTAACCGTGAGGATTGGATATTTAGATCATGTCAATTTTTTTTCAGTTTTCAAAAGTTTTCAGTTTCACTTTTTTAAAGTAAGTTCTCTGAAGTCGAAACTGCAAATGGCGCGAAGATACTATTGGAAAAACCGAACTTTTCTGATTAGAGATTTCAACAAAATCATTTTGAATTTAAAATCTTTCTTGATTTAAATTTCAATTAACCTAGCAACTTATTTTAATGACAATTCAGGATAAGGTGAAACAAATGACAGGTTTTTTTTACCAGATATTTTTACCAGATATGTTTTTTAAAGCCCATAACTAGATTGTTTTCAATTGATGAGAAAGCAAGTGACTTATAATTGGGAATTAGGCTTTTCCCAATTTTTGACCCAATTTTTTGGATTTTTTTTAAATCAAACACTATTCTCGCAAATCTACGATTTGGGTTCAACATAGAACAGATTGTGGATCTGCTAAAAGGGTTGCTTGTTTGTTTTTGTTCCACAAAAATTAATGACCCTCCGATATTTCAGAACTAAATTTTTTGATGGTTGTTTCAAACTGTTTGACTTTTATCAAACACTACGCACACAAATCGGAGAGTTTTGTTTCAATCTAAAAATTGTTTTAAAGGCATTTCAATTGATTGACTGAAACGCCGTCCTTTACCAACTGTGACCAAATTTTTCCCTCAAAGATGTTATGCCTCTCCGAAAAGTCTAATTTTCGATTCTCTTGACTGTTTTTTTTAAACTTCTGGATTTTTCACGAAATAAAACTTCCTAAAGCTGAGATTTTGGGTTCAATCAAGAGTAAGAGATGCGGGAAATTTCCCTGTTGTAGCGGCTTAGCTCATTTTTTTTATCCAAAAAAGTACTCGTCATCGGAAAAGTCATATTTGTGTTTTTTAACCACTTTCTAAATTTTATGATTTTTGCAAAAAATTACATTCCTAATTCTGGTGCTTTGAATTCAATCGAACCATCAGAAGCTCTCCTACATAAGTGGTTTTTTCCCACAATAAATTATGGCTTTCGGAAAACTTAATTTTTTGATTTTTGACCATTTTGGAAACTTTTGTCCTGTCGCCAAACGCTACCCTCCCTAATATGAAAAATTGGGTTCCATCAAAAGAATGAGATGTGATAATTTTCTCTTCACGAATAGTTTTGCTTAAAAAAATTCAAAAAAAAAATTTGCTCATTGGAAAATTCAATTTTTTGATTTTGTATTTTGCAAATTTTTATATATATTTTTTCGAAAACTACTATCCCTAATCTAGGAATTTGGTTTCTATATAAAGAATGAAATGTGATTAATTTCTTTTCATGAACAGTTTTATCTAAAAAAATTTTAACAAAAAAACTTTTGCTCATCGGAAAATTCTATTTTTTGATTTTGTCTTTTATAAATATTTGATTTTGCCATTTTTGAATTTTTTCCAAGAACTACTCTCACATTTTTGAGATTTTGTGTTCAATCAAAAAAAATTGGTGGCCAAAAAGTCTCCCTAAAAAGTTATGTCCTTCGGAAAAAATAAACAAATAAATAATTTTTTGACCTTTAATGAAACTTTTTGAATTTTCTCGAAAACTACTTTTCCAAACCTGAGAATTTGGGTTCATTTCGATGAACGGATTGGGAACTTCGAACTCATGAATAGAATTTTTTTTTGCATGTGCGACTACGCCCAATTTTGACCCAAAAACTGTTATGCTCAGGAAAAAAAAACAAATAGCCAAGCCCTCAGAGAAGTTAATGTTTTGATTTCTGGTCCGTTTTTTGAATTTTTTCTTTTGAAAACAATCGAGCCGAATCTGATTTCAATGGCTTAATTGAGGCATGATGTTATGAGAAGCCTGCCTAAGTGCCTGCGCCTCCAAGTTTGTTAGAAAAACGTTTGTTTCTGGATAATTTAAAATATCTCAAAAAATTTCTGTATTACCTTTTAAGTTGAGAAACAATTAAGGTTTTCGGTGAGGCTCAAACTTGGACTGTTTGATTTGACACATTTCGCCCTGCTTCAAACATCAAAACTTGAAACAAATAAAACAATTACTTCCAGCTTTAGATATGACCCTAGAACAAAAACTAATTTTTTTTACATAATCTGTAGTTTTACCAGATCTGAATTGAATTTTTTTCTTCAATAAATAGTTTTGGTTCATGTTATATTGGTTTATTCAAATTAGGTTGCGTAATTTAAGAGCAATTTCTCAAGAATATGTTTGCATGTTCTAGGAAAAATAAATTGCAAACGATTTGGTTCAAACGTTTTTGTAGCTTCAAATTTTTTATGATTCGAGTTTTGTTTTTGGCTTGACGAGGGTCGACCCAAGTTTTTTGCCTTATGTCCCACTTATAATGAGCCTCAGCCCAGGTAAAAATGTAAATTTTTTGTAGATATCTTCTTTTGGTTTTTTTCAAGCAATCTTTTCAGCTTATGAATTCAAAAAATGATTTTTAATGCCATGTTTTAATTGTGTCCCTGTAATTGTTTAAGTATAATGAAGCTCCGTTTTCATTCTATGTAAAAATTTTTGCCTGAGATGTTAATTTTTAAATTTTTTAGATACGTTTTTCACGCATCTACGAATGAAGATAAAGGTGAGGAAGTGCTAAAACAAATTTTTTCATAACTTGGTAGCGTAGTGTTGAATAACAATTTTTTTTCCGACCCAACTTGCAAATGAAAGTTGTCATATGGCGGCTTTTTTGCACTGAGCATCAGCATTTAAATAGCACTTGTTGTATTTGCTTTTTTAGTGGCTAGTGTTTGGGTTTTTTTAACTATCCATGGCGTAGATGCGAGGACGTTAGACTCTTTATATCGACGTAGGAGGCGGATCGATTCTAGTTTTTTACCAAAATTTACCGTTGATATTAAGTAGCACCTTATGTAACTGCTTATTTTGGCTAATATTTGCATATTGACAAGGAATCATAGCGCAGGTAAGAGGATGTGAGTCTCTTAGTGTCCAGGTAGTAAGATCTTGCGTTATTTTTCCTTATTCAACCTTTCTAAATATATATATTTTAAAGTTTTTTTGCCGTTTTATGTTTTTTTTGCAAAAAAAAATTCGCCTCTGGTTAGAATTCTTTTTGACGATATTTGAACTAATGTTTTTGGTTCATCTCGTTGCGTTGCAAAATTTTGTTCAAATATTTTTTAAACCAGAATAGAGTATCCGGTTTGTTTTGATTGGTTATTCCAATGTTTAGTTTGTTCCTACTACTATTCAATAATAACACAATCATTTAGTAAAGAGTTTTTTTTGTTGCTTCGACAAGATGTTCTGGATTTTCAAATACTTTTCGAAAAATAAGGTTTCTTCTTCAATTGTATAATATTGATTTAATCTGTATATCTCTGTTTAACTCAAACAGCGAGCCCTTGTGACATCAAATTTGGTACCAATTCCTTGATATAAGACAAAGGTTATCCCGAATTTTATTGTCACAAGCTATGTTTTTGATGCTTAAATATGTCTTGTTCCGAAACAACATGGTAATCTGTCGCTGAAAATTTGCTCGCAAGGCCGTTGAGCCTGTGCGATTTTGAAAATACCTTTTAAATGGATTTTCGACAAAATACGAATTAAATTACAATTTCCCCTGCTGCGTTTCGACTTCTAGATATTTAAAAAAAATTTTAAAAAATTTTCATTTTTCGTTGCGAGACGCTTTTGGAAAAAGAAATTTGGCCTAAAGAAATAATTTGTTTTTGATGTAGTTCCTTTCAGCTAATATTAGGTATAATTGATTAGGCAAAATTTCTGATAACACTATGTTTAACTCGTTGAGCAACGCATATTTCATTCATTGCTACCATATTTAAATGGACTTTGTTTCGAATATTGAATTTAAACGAATAAAAGTTGCAGGGTAAGTTCCTTTTTGATTCGCAATAACCTCATTTTGAATTTTAACTTTTTTGTCTTGAGTTTCCACAATCCTAGAATTAAAATTCAACAAAAAACAATTGAATTTTAACAGTTTGAATTTAATTTCAACGAAAAGAAAAT